AGCACTGATCTGCTGTCTGAAGACCCTTTTGTAAAAACAAACTGACAACTTGTTGTGCTTCCTCTCATTCTGAATTCCCATCTCTGTGGAGCAGGAACACAGCCCTTCCCACCAGGGCCGACTCCTCCTCCTGGGCCCTGGATCCCACATAAACTATTCCTCCTGCAGGGCACCCCTGAGCCTTGTCCACCTGCTCCCCAATAAGCTCAGACTGAGGGTGGGAGGCAGGCAGGCTTTCTATTCTCTAAAGACCACCTCTGTTATTCCATGGTGGAATTCCTCTAAACTTGGATTTCTCACCTGGTTCTCACTTTCTCAGTCTACAACACCCTTCATGTCCTGAGGCAAGGCAGTCAACTCTGACTACTGGGGGACTCAGCAGGACTCCTGCCTCCTGCTCCCACCAGACACTCACGAGCCACCCTGTGTGCTCACTGGGCTCCCACAGAAGCCTCTTTCTGGCCTTGCCATCCTACCGCCAACCTTTCTTTTGAATTGCCAAACCCACTATTGTAAACTCCACCGGAGTACAATCTATATGCTTCCACCCCCAAACTACCCCCTGCCCTCCTTCCTTCCCTGCTGGGTGACCACAATGGCTGCTAAGCGCTCTTCCTGCACCTCTCTCCCCCTACAGCAGCCCACCTTACAGACTGGTGCAGGATGATTCTCCTGATGCCTGTCTGATCATGGCTGCCACCTGCCCCAGCTACAGTGGCTCCCCCATCCTCTATGGCTTCACGCTGGGGCAACTAGATTATCTACATAAAAAATACTTTTCTCAATTTTCCTCTGTATGCTGGGAACTCCAGATAAGAGGAAAAAAATCATACTTCTCATATAATAAGTGAGAAAACTCACATATTCTACTTCCATGCCTTTATTTTTTCTCTCTTCCTGTATTTTCTCTTCAAACCTCAGCAATAAGCAGGACAATGGGCCTCCAAAGACGTCCACCTTCTAACTTCTAGAAGTTGCATAGCAAAGGGGAATTTCAGATGCACATGGGATTAAGTTGCCAATGGGCTGACATTAAAACCGATGATCCGGGATGACTCCAGTGGTCCAAGGAAGCCACTGAAAGTAGAAGAGGTAGAGGGAACATGGAACAGCCACCAAGGGAGGAGAGTGCTGTGGCCCTAAGAGCAAAGCAGAGAGCCCGGAGCAATGTGGGCAGCCTGTTGGTTGGTGCTGGAAAGCAAGGAAACCTGTTCTCCCCAGAGCTTCCCAACGCAGTCCTGCCAACCTGATTTCACCAAGAACTATGCTGGACTTCTGTCCTCAAAGAACATGCAATAAGAAATTGGTGTTAAGCCACCAAGTTTGTGCTAATTTCTTACAGCAGCCATCAACATAGAATACAGCTCTATAAGCAATTACCAAAGCTCCACCGATCTTTTAGGAACCATTTGAGAGGTCATTAAAATGCAAAGATTATTCTGTTCCCACAAGAGCCCTGTCTGCTGACTATACTAACAGGACTCCAGGTTCCTGAGAACTCTCAATCCCTTCTGGGAGCATTAGTAGGTAAGTCCATATTTGTCACTTCCTTGCTGCACAGCTGTGAAGCCACTTAACCTCTGTACCTTAGCTTCCTCGTCTACATGTTTAAAAGAAAATCTCTTAAGGTGTTGTGAGGATTAAGTACAGGAAGCAATATATACAGTCAACATAGCAAACAAATAGAAACAGATCAATGAAAAAAAATTAAGGAAGAATATGAAGCAAAAAAGATGTTATTTTAAAATTAAAAGGGCCCATATAATTGTTTTCTGTATCTTTCTTTATGCTAGGAATAATTTGAAAACAAGACTAGCAAACCTATTATACATACTATGATCACATAAGCAGTCTCTCCAGCCCATCCACATGTTCAACTTCTGCGTGAAGACAGTAACTAATATTCCTTTTATAGTTTCCACTTAGAAATACAGTGGAGCATCACAGCTCTGTGCAGTCTAATGGTAGCTTCACAATTCACCAATGCATGTAATAAAAGTTGGCTGCAAATGGGATGCTCTTCTTAAATGAAAAATTTGTATGAAATAGCTATCTCACTATTGAAGAGTGTTAGGATTGTGGTAATAAGAATAATTTTTTTAACCTTTATTTTTATGTGGTGCTGAGGATCAAACCCAGTGCCCTGCATGTGCTAGGTGAGCAGTCTACTGCTGAGCCACAACCCCAGTCCCTAAGGATAATTTTCTATTGAAAAATTAACTATGCTTATAACAATTTTAAAGTACTTAAAAGCTAGTGTTTATAAAAAAAATTAAAATGACAGAGCTCCACTGGCAGCAAAAAAGAAAACTAGAAAGTCAAGATGCTGTGGACAAGTATTCGTGAGGCTGCCTGCATGCATAAGCATGTGAGCGGGTGGCAATTAATGTGAGGAGGAGGAGGAGCAGTCATCAGCTTAGCATCCCAATTCAAGACTACTACGTGCATCGAGGTCTCTCAATATCCAGGTATGTCTGCTAATGGGCCAATTGTAAAGGGCCAATTCTACATTTTAATATGAGGTACTAGGAGAATATGAGAGGGACAGCAAATTCCCAGTGAGCTCTAAACAGTTTTTTTAGAATACAGTTCCATTTGAAGAAAATACTAAATCCACCAGGAAAATTGAAAGAGTTTATGTGAAAAATTTTAATCTAATGCTATTTAAATGGTTAGCCTGAAGCAATTTTTTTTAATTTGAAATTTTAAACATTTAAAAAAATAAATTCATTTTTTTATTTTAGTGTCTAGCAACAAGAAATAATGGCCTTAAAACATTTATTCAAAAAATATTTACTAAGAACTAAATTTGTACTAGACACTGAACTTGGAGGTAAGAAGGTGAAAATAATTGAAGTACTGCCAGCACCCAAGAGTAAATGATGCGGTCCAAGGGCCATGTCTGCTAAGCAGGGAAGGCTCTGGTGCACAATGGAAGACAGCGAGTTACCTAGTCGTGGAGCAGGTCCAGCCATCCAGAGACAGTGGACATGACTGAGCACTGAAGGATCATGGGAAATGACAGCCAAGCGCACAAAGCCTTCAGAGTACACAAAGGCCTAGAATGAAGACAGAGAAGGCCTGGATGGGACACTGTCAGGGTCCTCAGGGTGACCAACCATGGGGAGCAACGTGTGCAGACAAAATGAAGAAGCACAGGGGTTCTAGAAGACAGATAAGGTAGGCACGTCATAGGCTCAAAGCAGGAGCAAAGCTGTCTTCAAGACACCACACATATCCTGGTCAATAGGGGCTGACAGACGGTGACATGGTAACACAGATAAAGGAATGTGTCTGCCCAAAAGGGAATTGATGTACAAAAAAAAAAAGATGACTCAAAAACATTGTGACTTGGCCCTCTAGGCACTGTTGGGAGAAAGCATGCTTAGGCAGCAAACTTCAAAGAACGACTTCCAAATACTTGAAAGAATTACAAACGTCAAGAGTTACTGTCCAATGGGCAAAGCAATCCGTACTATGAAGAAAATTTAGTATAATCCCTTTCCTTTCAAGTTCTATAGCTCAACCAATCCTTCAGTAATCAGCATTTAGGAGGGCCACACTGGGTACACTGTCCTGTGGTAACAGAGCCATCAGAGGTCCCTGTCCTCATGGGGCACCACACCAGTGAAGAGCAATGATAAAATATAAATGAACATACGTGTATTTTTTATATGGTGATGAAAGTTAAAGAGGAAAATGGGACAAATACGGGGAAAGCGAACAGGAACACGGCAATCTTAAATAGGAAACTCAGGAGCTGAAACAGGCACCACTATGTCCGGCAAGAGGGAACAGCAACATAAGAAAGGGAACAGAAACCCCTGTGCGGGAGTGTGGCTGCAGCCAGGGGAGAGTGCCAGGCGCTCGGCCAGGAGATACCTTGCTTCTCACTGTTCACTCTGGTTAGTCTCTGGTTTCCCAGCTCCTGAACTCTGGGTTTCTGATCCTCAGCGCTAAAGGCCAGAGGCTGGGCTACAACCAATCCCCCAGGCCAATTGGGCGCCACCCCACGGGGCTTGGAACTGAAGACCAGATGACTCCTTCAGCCTTCTCTGGCCTTTGCCAACAGAGTGAAGGATGAACCACGTTGCAGTGAGACTGGAGAGAGATGAGCCGAGGAACCCAGCTGTCGCAGAGCAGGAGACAGGGGAGGACGCTCAGCCCACCTGTCCTCAGGGGAAAGGAGGGGGAAAGGGGCCCAAGGCCAGGAGGCAAGTGGCAGTCAGGAGACAGCAGGCCAGCTTAATCCCTGGGGAACACGGGCGCTCCCAGCATTTCCCAGAACAGAAGCCCCAGGTCTCCTCGGACTTTCAGAGAAAGTCTAGCTCTTTCAAGAAAGAAACCAAAATTAAATCAATGCAAATAGAACCAAGAATTAGTAGATAGAGAAAGTTATAATCAAGAAGGATTTTAGACAAAGGTGTGGAAATTAAAAATATACTTGATAATCATAATCATGTGGCTATTTTTTTCCAGTATAAAAGAATGACATTTTAAAATAGGCATCAGGTCTTGGGATGCAGCTTAGCGCTAGAGCACTTACCAAGAGTGGGCAGGACCCTGGGCTGCACCCCAGCACCACTAAAGTAACCTAACAAAATAAGCCCTTCAAATAACTAATAATCAAAGCCTGTGTTTTAGACACATTTGCCATGATCCATTGAACAAGTAAGCAAAGCCGATGGGTCATTAGCTCTTCCAGAGAATGTTCTTTTTACAAAAGATTTTAACCAAGGACATAGCTAGAAAATGAAACCTATATTTACTACCAAAAATGAAAAGAATATCAAAGACATAAAATCCTACTGAAAACGTGTGATCTGCAGACAGAAAACATTTTAGAAGAATCTTATATCCACAACTTTTGAACTTTTGTGATTTTTCTTTCCCAAGAAAATATTCAACTACTTTTCAACATCACATGTCCAGGAAAAAAAAAAAAAAGGTGAGCATACAGAATACTGAATATTTTATGAGTAAGATTGAGAGATGCTTACCCGGTATTGATGGAAATTATTTCTATTAGTGGATTCTTCCTGATCTTGGGCAAATCCAACCGAGCTCCCCCCAGCCGCTTTCCATTATCCTTCTTCTGGCCCAGAAGTCGCACAGAGTGGCCTTCAAATCAAGAACATAAGTACACATCAGTGAGTCACGCAACTCCACTTTAATTTTCCGCTTTGAACAAATGTGCTAACGTTTGCATTTAGTTTTGTCTTTTATGAGGAAAAAGAAAAAAGCACCCTAGAGAAGGTGTGGTCATTTGAACCTAGGAAAAAAGTGTCAGAAGAAAAACAGCTGTGTTCTAGGTCCGCAGTTAAAAGTATTTTGCTTACGTTAAGTTGCATACTTATGCTGTATACTTGAGAAACAGAAAGAGGCATGTCCTCGGAATAGAGTCCCACAGGTATGAATGCTCTATTAAAAAAAACAAAATCAGAAGCCCCTCAAAGCAAACAGAAAATCAAAGCTAAGATAAAATTGCATTTTATGGTACGATATTTTAAAACACAACTTTTTAAATTTATTTTTATAAAATGTCACATAAGGGGCTGGGGATGTGGCTCAAGCGGCAGTGCGCTCGCCTGGCATGCGTGCGGCCCGGGTTCAATCCTCAGCACCACATAAACAAAGATGTTGTGTCTGCCGAAAATTAAAAAATAAATAAAATATTTTAAAAAAAAATGTCACATAAGATAATCAGACTAATACTAAGAGCCATTATAATTTCATTACTTTTTAAATACTAATATAACTTAAGGCTTATACAAAAGACAGTACTAAGAATTTGCATACTCCTTTCACATTCTTCATTTATCTTACCAGATTTGTAATTTGGTTTTTTTATGTACAGTACTATTTTCTACAACTTTATTGAGCTTATGCTGTATCCTATAAGATTTACCCAGAGTGAGCATACAATTCAATGATTGTAAGTGAATTTATACAGTTTTGCAATCAACACAATTACCCAACTTTAGACCATTTCTATCACCTCTCAAAATAGTCCCATACCAAATACAGCACATTTTGCTGACTCACTGACCAGATGATGGATATTTGGATTGTTTCAAAGAATGGCTGTTACAATAATGTCTCTATGGACAAGTTTCATTTCTCTTGCACATATTCCTAAAACTGTCGAGTGGTGAATCTATGTTTACCTTTTTAAGAATGATGTTTTTCACAGTGGTGATACGATTTTGTATGCCCACCTTCATCAGGAGATTTGTAAATATTTTCCCCCAGTCTGTGGCTTAAAGCTTCATTTTCATGATGGTAGCTTCTATTTAAAAGTAAATGCTTTTTTGGGCTGGGGATGTGGCTCAAGGTAGCGCGCTCGCCTGGCATGCGTGCGGCCCGGGTTCGATCCTCAGCACCAAATACAAACAAAGATGTTGTGTCTGCCGAAAACTAAAAAATATTAAAAAAATTCTCTCTCAAAAAAAAAAATTAAAAAAAAATAAAAGTAAATGCTTTTCAATTCAATGTCCAATTTTTCCATTTTTCCTTCCATGGCTCATGGATTTGGTGTCATATCTAAGAACTCATAGATCTGCCTATCCCAAGGACGTGAAGATTCTGTGTTTTCTTCTTATGTGCTTATGTTGAGGTCTAGGATCTACTTTGCCTCTTCTCTGTACAACAGGGGCCCGAGATCACTTCTCAGTCAGCTGAGAGCCGTTTCTCTTCCTGCTTCCTCTTTTATGGAATTGCTATCACACTTTACGTACATAGTTGCACAAAGCTAAAAACAGCGCTATAATTTTCATTTTAAAAGAGAAAAAAACATAAAATACATACTCTTTCTTAAAAAAAAAAAGAGTGGGGGAGAGAGAGAGAGAGAGAGAATTTTTTAATATTTATTTTTTAGTTCTCGGCGGACACAACATCTTTGTATGTGGTGCTGAGGATCGAACCCGGGCCGCACGCATGCCAGGCAAGCGCGCTACCGCTTGAGCCACATCCCCAGCCCTAAAATACATACTTATAGGAGTATATTAACCCACCTGTATACCATTTCTAACACTTTCTATTGTTTCTTGAAATTCATGTGATACCACTTCCTTTCTGCCTAAAGAATTTTCTAATATCTTCTAAATCAAGTCATTTAGCAACAATCATTCTTTGAGAATATATTTTCCTTCATTTGTGAAAGATAATTTTCACTAATTCATTACTAATTGCCAGATTTTTCTTTGAACATGCCACATTCCTTTGACATTTTTGGCTTCTGATGTCAACTATTAATCTCATTGTTGTTTCCCTGATAAGTGTTACTTCTCCTCCTATCCTTTCAAAATTTTCACTTTGCCTTTCAACAGTTTGCTGATGGTGAGTCCAGGCAGAGATCTCTGATTTTTCCATATGCAAGTGAGTTAGATTTTTTGATCCACAAAGTTTTTCCTTAGGTTTGCGATGTTTTCAACCAGTAGGTTTTTGTTTTAGTTTTTGTACTCTTCTCTGTCCTGGTCCTCTGCGGCTCCCATGACATTGTGTTAGTGTGCTGGATGTGGCCACAGAGGTCTCTGAGGTTGTCTACTCAAGGTTCTCCAGAAAGACAGAACTGAGAGGATTCAGAGAGGGATGAGAAGGGATGGACTAGGGAGTCAGCTCACTTGATTGTGGAGGCCAAGAGTTCCCACGATGGGCCATCTGCAAGTCAGAGAACAGGAAAGCCAGGAGCGTGGCTCAGTCCAAGCACAGAGCCTCAGAACCCAGGAAGTGGATGGTGCAAATCTGCAGTCAAGGCTGAGGCTAATAGCCCTGGAGGCAACTGGTACCAGTCTCAGAGATCAAAGGCTAAAGAATCTGAAGTTCTGAAGCCAAGAGGAAACAAGTGTTCCAGCTCTTGAAAAGAGAATAAGAATCCACCCTTCCTCCACAATTTTGTCCAGGGGTCTCCAGGTGACTGGATACTCCCCACCCACCCTGAGGGCAAATCTTCACCACCCAGTCCACCAACCCCCAAGGCCATCCCCTCAGGAAGCAAATCACAGACACCCCCAGGGCATCCCCATCAAATCAAAACCTCACAGCTTCCCTTTCAGCAGAGGGGGAAGGCTCAGTGCCTGTCACACACAGCATTGACAGTAAAGATGCTTCACCAGATAGCTGAGTACCCCTTCATCCAGTCAGGGTGACATCTAAAGTCAGCAGTGAGAGAGGTCCTGCTCATTTTAGTTCTGCTCTTCAGACAGGATCATTTCTCTAATCACTCTCCAACGTGACTGGTAATTATCCGTAAGCCACCTAGAAACCTGCAGCGGGGCCCCGACGAAGGCTTCAATCTGTTTCTGCGCTTTTCAACTCCAGATTCTCCACATGTTCCTCTTCATAATTTCTATTTTCAAGTCACTATCACAATCCTTTTCTTGCATTTTTCCACTATGCTTTCCCTTACTCTCTGGAATCCTTGTCTTCTAAATCCAACACTGTTGGTCACTGAGGAAAAAGGATGGACTATTCTTCATCAGGAACATGGTTACAATTGATTTCTTTAAATGAAGTCTGAAGACTTGACCTCTTAGATTACATATCATAGCAAGTCAAAACTCACATCGCCCCCCAAGGATAGTTGATTCGTGGAGACTAAATCTACGAAGCTCGCTCTCTCCACAATGAATGGTTGCCGATATCCCTGTTTAATGTTTAATGTTTTTCGAGAATGTACTGACAGTGTTTTGTGAAGTCAAAGACTGATCATACACGTTCTTAAACACTTTGAGCAAGGCAGATAACTACTCTCTACCAATGGCTCTGAGTGACCCAGTGGGGGCATTTCACGTTAGGGCCATTTTCCAGTTGGCCCCACCTTGTCTTTTCTCCTGGGCACCCTTGGGTCCTCTCTGGGGTCCTGTGGATGTGCAGGCGGGCTCCATCAGGCAGACAAGGGTGGGTAGCTTGGGCTCACTCCAGTTTCTGCTCTGTTCATGCAGACGCTCCAGTCAACTGAAAGTACGTGGAGAGCTTCTCAAACTTCCTATCACTGTTTCACCTACAAGAATTCCCTGTTAAATCCAGGCTAGTTCGCCTGTCCATGCTTTGTATATCAAATGCCAGGACTCTAGGTCCAGTAGAGCTGCAGACCTTCCCTATTACTTGCCACCAAAATCTCCACCATAACTGACAGTTCCCCAAATCAACTGAGCCATCTCAGTAGCAGCAATAAAGCTCCTCACTTTCACAGCCCGCTACCCCCTGGTTGAACGAACTTGTCCATCAGCTGAGAAGAGAAAACAGGACTTACACTGTTTTTAAAGAGACTTCAGTTGTCATCATGAATAAATTTCTCAATTTGTTGAATGCTTTTAGTCAAGTTCCAAAATAAGGCATAATTTGCTTTTGACCATTTGTACCTTTATTGTGACTTTGGGGGGGTAATTTGTTGAGCTCCCAATGCAATCATGCCAAAGGCAAATCAAAGGCAACCTTTATAAGGCAATCATTTAAAATAACTGCAGATGCATAATTAGTGCAGACATAAGATTCTAAGCAATTATATACACGTCTCATCACCCCTCATTTCAGAAAGACAGATTGCTTAAACATCTCCTGAACAGACAGCTTCTCACAACCAGAAGTAATAAAACCATCAGTCACAGCCTTTTTGCACTAATCACTTTAATAAGAAACATTAAGGAATCCACTCATTCTGGAAAGTTTTACTTTGACACAAGAACACAGCTAGAGTCAAGCAAGTGTTTGGCAAACCAAATTCCAGAGATTTTCAAGAAAAGTTGAACTCTTCAATCAAAAGTCCAGCGGTTGAGCAGGTGAACAAGACTGGCATGGCTATACCACAATTTTCTGAGAGATGCCCAAGGTGCGGTTATGGCTGTGCAAAGGCATGTTATGTTCATAGTAGGATGAGACAAATTTCATTATATTCCTGCTGAGACTCCAGTAATATACAGCCTGCACTAATAACATTTGATAAATTATTCATCTTCACTATCTACATGCAAATAAAGGAACATATCTCTGCCTGATGATATAATGAGTTATTTTCCAATCCAATGATTCATTAGAGAGCAGCAGACCTAACAATGAGTCTCAGGCTTTTTTTTTTTTCCCTTTTAAATTGAAAAATACAGTACCCTAAAGACAAAGTAGGA